AAAAAAAAAAAAAAAACGAAAAAGAAGCAAAAAAAAAAATAACAAATAAACTGTCAAATGGACATTCCCTCTCTAGTCAATATTAGGTAGGACAAATTTGTAAATATCTTTTTGTCAATTGCATAAAGTTTTAACTGTTCATACTCGTACCTCTAACTTGGTCGCATATCAAACGTGCGATAGCACTCGGATTAATACATATACACAAAACACACAGAAACACACACACACGCACACCCATATATAATAAGTACACACATTCGAATATTAAAAATGACGTATAAAAAAATATTATCTGAACCGTACTATAAAAAAAAGAAAGGAACCCAAAAGAGACATCGATCATGTTCTTTTTAAAATATCAAAGGGACAGGTAGGTGAATGGAACAAAAGGGTTGGAGGAAGTATTATTAGCAATAAGTCAGTTTTCGGAGTATGTTCGTTTTCAGATAAATAAAAGGTCCAGGGGTGTAGCTGGAGTTTCAGGAAGGGGTGGGGGTGGTAGGGATGAAGGGTGAGGTGCATAGATGGTGGCAATAAATAGATCGTAAAGCGTATCCCGTGTCACACACAAACCGTCGGTGCGCGCATAATGGTAGGAAACAATGAATGCCGTAATCGGAAACAGTGCCGGTTTGTTATCTGCCATTTACACTCCATTTAACTTCAAACAGTGAATCGTACAGAGCGCAGGATTCGCGTTTTAAATACACGCGACCTCTGAACCCAACCAACCTACCCCCCTGCCCCTCACTGTTCATCCTCATTCTCATCCTACACCATCAGCTTCTACTCTTCTCTACTTCTACTTCTCTTCTACTATCACCTCCTCCTCCTCCTCCTACTGTTCTTCTTGTTCCTCCTCCTCCTTCTCCTCTCTTTGAATTTACCCTTCGAGCCGGCGCGTCGCGCATCGCCTCGCCCTTTCACAACCATTCGCCCACTGGTTACGAGCTTAACGCAGGGTTAAGCGTTGTCCTTTGCTAAACGAGTAGTTGTAACTTGGTATTAATCGTGTGAAACGCGTTGGGATTATTCGTCGTTTTCACGCTTACCTTATTTTTCTTTTATACCATTTTATTTTGTTGTGTTTTTTTTTTCTTTTTCGGGGAATAGTAGGTCAGTTTGAAAATTAAATTCGATTAACACGGTATTACTACGGTAATTGAAAAATAATTTGATTTGTAATATTTTATAATTGTCTCTATTTTTTTTTTTTTGGTATTTGTATTTGTATTTATGGAAAGGATAAGAATGAAAAAATATTGTAAAAATGTATACTAAATTTATATACACGATGTGTTAGTAATGTTCTCGATTTGTCTATAAAAAAGTAAATCGAATTGTACGGTTGGTATCAGTTTGTAAGAAATTATATTCAAAGAGTTTTGAATAAATATAAATATAAATATATATATATTATCTACAGTATTCTGTACAGCAATAATCACAGTAGTCGTGTACATATACAAGATATTTCAATAATAAATCAATGTGTAATAATCAATCCGATATTTTAAGGATATTTTGAGAAAAACGTAAAATGAAAACAAAACAAAAAAAAGAAATTAACAGTGGTTTTTCTCTCATGTCTATTTCATAGTTACTTACGAATTTATTGAAATAATTTAGGAAATTTATCCTTAACACAGGCACTTGTTAGAATTACGAATAAGACGATAGTTATTAAATCTAAGTCCGTGTAAATTATTCATCCTTAGATACGTAAGAATATTTATTAAACATGTTCTGTTTTATTTTATAATAAATTATTTATTGCGATAAAAAAATATAAAATGAAAAAAAAAAAATTAAAAAAAAACAAAAAAAAAAAAAAGAAAAAACAAAGTTACATCTCGTCAGTGTAAATAAAAATCCATATTATGTACATATTTTACTGTATGTATTCAAAATCGTTGTTAATGAATAAAAGAATATCCATAATGATTGGGGGAAAAATGAAAAAAAAAAATAATCTACTTGTGAGACAATTTTTTAAGTACCTAACCTTATGTTTTTATTTTTTTTATCAAAGAATCGTAGATGATTAATTTCATCCTTGAAATTGTTCGTTGAAACGAATAGAAAAATGTAATGTAATGTAATGTAATTTAATTGAATTTAATTTGTTATTTTTGTTTTGATCATCATTTTTCAACAAAATTATAAAAATATTAAGAGAAAGTGATCATTTTTAATATATATATTTTTTTTTTACCCCATCATTGTGCAGAACAATGTGGTTGAGCGTAGATAGCGGCGTTTGGGTAAGAAACAAATCGATTTCACGTTCTCTCTCTCCCATTTCTGTTAGAAACTAACGCTAACAGAAGAAAGCCGATTACGAGGCAATAGATTAATTTCTGGCCACTCAAAGAACCACCCTGATCTAACAATTTCATCAGTATCAGTATCATCAAATCGAACCCCTTTAAGATACTTATCAATATTATTTTGATCGTGGTCATTTTAACTGCGTCATTATTCATTAATTTTAATCATAAATCTTAGAAAAAAGAAAAAAAAACTATTGGGTAAGAAAGTAAATGATTGTGGATTTTGTCGATAAGTGGTCTTCTAAAATTAGCAATGACTTAATTGCCAACCCAATAAAATATTCAAAAGAAAAAAAATAGCAAATAAACAAACAAACAAAAAAAATATAAAAAGAAAATAATCGAGAAAACGATGATCGGACTTGTTGAATCAAACTACTATGACAACAACTATACGATGATGTGCATCCTCAAAAGGATTCAACCTAAGTGAAAAAAGAAAATCGGTGTTCTCGAAAAAGGTCCATAGAGAGAATCCCCTTAAACGGGTAACGTTAAGCTCTTGGAAACCGCGGCCAATACGACAAACAATCTCTTACTGCCCTCGAACCGTCGGCTTAACTTCACCCAACCCCTAAGGAAGTAAGTGTACTTACCCTCTGCCCGAGGTCCATAAAGATAAATAACACGGAGCAAGGCCCTCTGCATCGAGGAAAAGAGAGATCCCCCTTTTTCAAATCCTCCCTTTCCATCATTCTCTTTCACTATACTTACGTAAACCAACACTAATTCAAAGTCCTTTTCTTTTTTCGCCTATTACTCGTTTCAAGAAGTCTCAGTGAACCTTTCTCTCTATCTCTCTCTCTTTCTCATTTTTTTCATATTTTTTCTCTCTCTCAATTTTAATTTGATTCTCTTTTTCATTTTTTACTTTTCCTTTCTCTCTTTTTGTTTATTTTTTGTTGTTGTTAGTTAATCTTTCTATCTTATTTTCCCATTTTCTTTTTTATTTCCTATCTCTTTCGTCCTTTTCTTTTGTCTCTGTTTAGTTTTGGATGTTTCTTCTTTGGTCTCGTGATTCCCACCCTCGTTAGCGATACTTCCCGTTACGAATTGCGCGCATGCTTGTTTTGTGTCACCGAAATAATGACAATGTCATAGCCGAGGGCCGATTCGTTATGGCGTGCTTGGCACGTGGGCTACGATTGGATGCGGATATGCTAATATGGCGTCCGTTCCAAGACATTAAATCCTCAGATTCACCGATTCTCGCCAGACGAACTTCGTCTTCCTGCACTTGACTGAATCTAACATAGTTGTTGCACCTATGATAATATTGATTCACGTTATCCATCTTTACTCTTTTTTTTATGGGGTTTGAAAAGAAACTTTGACTCATTCCCAATGACTTTTATTTTTTGTTTGTTTCATTTATTATAATAAAGTTTATCGATATTTTGATAACACAAGTAGATACTGTTTGAAGTTAAATAGATGACAAAAGAGTATGCATGTGTCTGTATGTGTAACATTAGTGTCAAAAGCAAGAAACAGCCAACCCCAATTCGAAATTCGTCACAGTACTTCGTGAGCGATCATGTAACTTGACTGCGAACACGTACCTTAGACCGGTCTCACGATAATCTTCAACATGGGATTTTGCTCTAGGACTGTTAACCATCACTAAACGATTTCTTTTGATCCTGCTTACGCTTGTTCAGGGCATATGCTATAATAGTTGTTACAATATTCACACGGTTACATGCAATACAATACAAAAAAAACTATGAAAAGGATTATCGCAAACTTTGAAACGTAGAATCGTGTATTGTGCGTATGATAAAAAGGATGAGATTCTTTATTCTACCTGAATCTCGTGTTTTACACGAATGATCGAATTGATAAACAGAAAGAGAAAAGGAAGGGAAAAGAAAATATTCGAGAGGAGAATAG